AAACTGCCCCAGACAGAATAAAGTGCCTTGCTTATAAACAACCATGGTTATATGAACCAACATCCTGGTCAACAGATGCAAAAGTCTGAATTAACTTTTTCTGAATATTAAAGAAAATACCTGATTTCATTGATTATTGCCTCAAAGTGTATATTAATGTTTACATATATATTCAAAATCAATATAAAATGTATTTTACTGGCAGCAGATTTATTTCTGCCTTTAACTGAAGGGTATGTAAACTTTCAAGAACCTCTTTATATATCTGTTTAATGTGACCAATAAAAACATTCATTTTGAGTTTTAATTTTTTCAAAATGTTGATGACTTCAGGGTCTCCAGAAGAAAAATCCCAGCTCATGTTCTCCATGAACGATATCGGTGGAACTGGCTTCCTGTCGAAGGAGGAATTTGCCAGGATGCTCAGGTTTCAGCTGCTGCTCTTATTTTTCATGGCTGCACAATGTTTTCTTAGGCGTTTCGCTGGGTCATCTTTACCCTTTTGATGTATTGCAGGTCTTTCATTGAAATCTCTAATGGCGTCCTGTCAAAGGCACAGGCAGAGGACGGCATCAAGGCCATGATGCAGGCTGCAGGCTTTGATAACAAGGAGAAAATCTCATGGAGGGACTTTCATTCCCTCCTGAAGGACCACGAAAAGGAGCTGCAGTTTGCTCAACTCAATGTCAAAGGTGTGAACAAGTTTAGCTTTGGATCTGCATTTGTCTTCTTCTTCCTTCCTTGACCTTATCTGAGCCAAAGCTGTGTCTGTTTTGTGGACAGGGATGGAGAAACAGGGGAGGAAACGCCTGAGCCGAGACCAGAGAGTGTCCTTCATCCTTCCAGCTAACAGGTAAGATGGTAGCACACGCTGTTCCCTTCTCATACAGAAAGGGTTCTGTGAAGGAATAATTACCAATATAACAGAGCAAACTTATTATCCAATAACTTTCTTTTCATAAAATTTTTCTTACAGCAGTATTAAATCTGATGGACCGGAGCTACGGAGACGGAAAAAGTAGGCTTATGATCCATAAAATATAATAATGAGCTTCCTTTGACTAAGGGTAAAATTCGTAATCCAAAATAAAGATGAAGGATTAGTGAGTTTATTTATCTCATATTTACACGTTGAAATATTCTTTAAGAGTTCGTTTTAGATTAACCTTTTGGTCAGATTTGTCAATGTGAGACTTTTTATACAATATATCTATAATAAGGCTGGTGAAGATTCTCAGGTCATCCAGGTCATAGTCATTCCAAAAAAAGAAACGTTGTTTCCAAGTTTAAAGACGTTTCTCTTCCATCCAGGAAGATTTTTCAATTCAAAATGTCAGAAATAGCGTTTAGTTCCAGGTTTTATCCAGCAGCCCAAAAGCCTCGAAAACATGCAATTAGAAACGGATGAACGGGTCCCCCCCTTTAGAACGGGGGTCGTTTGGCTTCATTGTTAGCCTGCAATGCCCCATACCTGTCTATGTCTCTGAAATGGGGGTCGTTAGGGGGAATTGTTGGCCTGGCTAAATATGCGACGACTCTGCGGTCTATCTACACCTGATGGACAAAGGACATTCTTTGAAGGACCAGAATGTTCACATTTTGGACAAAGAAGACAGGTGGTTTGAGAGGGGCGTGAAGGAAGCCATCTATGTTAAAGAAAGAAAAACCAGCCTTAAACAGGGGGGGGACTCAGACTTCAGCTTTAAAAAACCTACAATGCAGCAATTGAGTTGATTCCTTCCCGCTATCATCAATTTGCATGTTTTCTAAACTAAAACCAGGCTTTGTTGAGCTGCTGTATAAAACCTGGAACTAAACGCTATTTCTGACATTTTTAATTGAAAAAGCTTCCTGGATGCGAAGAGAAACGTCTTTAAACTTGGAAACAAAGTCCAGTGGATTGTTTTTCATTTTCTTTATTGGAATATGAATAATAATCCTACTGTCATATGTGGACGCACTGTATATACTGTATATTTCTCATGCACCATTTTCTTCCTTTGGCACCTTCTTCTTTGACTATTTGAGCTGATGTGGCGACTACATTTCTCCACTGTGAGTTCAATAAAGTCAATCAATCAAACAATCAATACAAAAAATGTCTCGAAGCTCGTCTGCCTGGCTGTGTGTTTCCTGGACGGGGCCGCCTGTGGAGCTGGTTGACAGTTGCCTTTTGTATCTATGCTTCTTTTTCTACGTCTGCTTCTGTCTCCTTGAACCCCAGTGGGCCTCAGCAGATGGCCGCTCACACTGAGCCTGGTTCTGCTGGAGGTTTCTTCCTGTTCAAAGGGAGTTTTTCCTCTCCACTGTCGCTACAAGCATGCTTAGCGCGAGGGATTGCTGAAGAGTCAATGAGTCGATGCAATCAGCTGGTTTTCCTTAGATAGAAAACTTTGAATCAATCTGACTGGATGATCCTGGTGAACTGGAAAGTGCCTTGAGATGACATGCGTTGTGAATTGGCTTTATAGAAATAAACTGAATTGAAATGAAATTATTGACAATCAGCCTCCCGGTTTTAAATTGGATAATGACTGTTAAACATTGTTTATCTGCAGGTTGAGCATTAAGGCCCCGGCTGTCTACGTGAAGCCAAAGCGGGAGCAGTACATCAGGAACCCCGTCCAGCAGAAAGTCCAGCAGTTCAAGCGTTTCATTGAGAACTACCGCCGTCACATTGTTTGTTTCATCATTGTGTTCGGCATCACAGCTGGCGTCATCACTGAGAGATGCTACTGTGAGTGCAGCCAGCAGGCTTTGCTAGTTATTCCTACTGCATTACACTCTTCTTATTTAGATGAAAAAATCCTTAAAATAGAGCTGTTGCTGTCTGGCAGTCTGGGGGCAACATATATACCTGAGTCAAAGGTTTCGGTTTTAAACTTCTTAGCTGTTGGCTTTTTCAAACTTTTAGAGTATAGAAGACAAGCTTATGAAAAATGATTTTACATGCCAAATAATATGCAGGGTGCTGTAGTTTCTTATATAGCTTTATGCCCTTCTTGTTATCACCTTTAAATAAAATACTGTGTTCAGTCTATAGTTCACAGGCAGAAGCCACTGGTGTACCTGAGACCACGGTGATGGGCATTATTATCGCTCGAGGCACGGCGGCAGGAATCTCTTTTCTGTTACCATACATCCTTCTCACTGTGTGCCGTAACCTCATCACGCTGCTGAGAGAGACCTTCCTGAACCGCTACATCCCCTTCGACGCTGCCATCGACTTGCACCGCATCATGGCCATGACGGCCGTCGTCCTCTCAGGTCAATGTTGAGACTTTTTATTATTATTTATGAACTCAAGTTATTGAAGATTTATTCATTTTTATCTTGTCTGGGTCATTGACTTTTGCTTTTATGGCAGAAACTGAAAAAAATCCCTTAAAGGAAAAGTCTGGTCAGCAAGGAATTATCAATGGATCTGTTGGGATCCTGAGGCTTGCCCACCAGAGGGCGCCGAGGATCCCTTCCTGGGGATTTTTTTTTTTTGTCATGGACTGTTCTCACCAGAGGCAGGGAAAAAGTTCAAAGATTTAATGAGGAATATTTACAAACAGGTCACGGGGGTATCAGGTCCGGGGCTGGTCACGACTGGCTTCACAGTTCAGAGATTTGAGTTGAGCGGCAGAAGGGGGAACCAGGAGGGTTCAGAGGCTGTAGGCAGGCTGAGGGCTTGGTGGAGGCTGAGCTTGGTTGAGAGCTAGTAGATCACCAGGTTTAAGTTTCCCTTCCAGATTCTTCTGAGAGTCGGCTGGCAGGTCCTTGGCAGGTTTGGTTCTCCAGGGTTCTTCTGAGATCAGACAGACAGATTTCCAACAGAGAAATTCTCCAGGGGTTTCTGGTTTCAGACAGGTTCAACCTGGGAAACAGAGAAGACAAAAGGATCAGGTTCAGGTTCAGGTTCAGGTCTCATAGTCAGGAGACTAGACAGACTGGTTGGTTCAGGGTTTGCTGTACCGTGACTGACTAAACACTCTGGCACCGGAGTGTGGTCCTCAGCCCACTTAAGTACTGGTCTCCTGATGAGCAGATGAAGAACAGCTGGTGAAGTCAGCTCCAGCTTCAGGAGATCCAATACGCCCTCTGGTGGAGAAAAGGTAGACAGAACCCCAGATCCCAACAGTAACAAAAAATCCCCAGGAAGGGATCCTCGGCGCCCTCTGGTGGGCAAGCCTCAGGATCCCAACAGGATCATTATTTATACCTAAAACTAATACATCCGCATAATATTTTTCGTTGTGATCTC